TTTTCCAAATTGCACCAAAATAAACTGATCTTTTAATTATATTTTCCAAGATCTTTTGAAGTACCCTGGTCTGTTTACTAGTAGGCTCTAGGGATGTGGCTTGAATTTGTCCATGGTACCATTAGTGGATTGATCTTCAAAACCATGCGCTTTATTGTTTTCTGGCTAAGGCCACGGGCAGCAGGTCAGGCCACTGTCTTGTAGCTGGCTTTGTACCTGGAAGGGGTGGCAGAGAACTAGGGTTAGGAAGAGCCTTGCGTTACAAGAACAGTAAAGGGACAGCTTCCCCGACTCTTGCAGGCAGCCTGTGCAGCTTCTTGTGAGAGCCGAACAGTGGCAGCCCCTCCAAAACACACAGATAAATGTAGAAAAGGGTGGAATCAGTGTCTGAAACTCAGCCTTCCCGGGTGTGGAGGAGACACCCAGGGATGCACTCTTTTCTGGTCTGGGTGTTGGAAACAACAGTCCAAGATGATTAGAGTGAACTGATTATTTTTTTTAAAGCGTGAGATTTATTTTAAGAGCCGATGGAGAATTGCTGTGTGTGTAAAACCTCCGGAGAACAATCTAATCTGACACTGTGGATTTATCTTGTTGAGTGATTTCCTTTGGGTACGGAAAGCACAGATGTGATTTTTGGAGTCCTGGAGGAAGCAGCTCCTGCAGGAGTTCCCTCTGTCCTTGTTAATTAAGGGCAAGCCAGAAAGCCTCAGGAGTTGTGGCCATCCTCTCTGTCGGCCTGGGACTGGTGGGGGCTGGTGGGTGATATGAAAAATGTGGCACCTCAGTCAGGTCTTGGAATCCATGAGCCATCTCCCGTTTCTTCCTGGGGAGTTGTGTGTATGAGTGCGTGAGTGCAGGGGGATGCTGTTGAAAGCAGATGGGACACCAGCTGGGGCTTCAGTGGGAGACTAAACCGATTTCTCCTTCCATCTGCTTTCCTTAGCCGTAGGCTTGTCCAAAGCCCAGGGAAGCAGTAGGAGCAGTGCAGTCCTCCCTGAAGTTGGCTGGGATCAGGGGAAACAGGAGAGCACCAGCTGCTGGTGGGGGTGATTGGGTGGGAACGAAGTGGGTAGAGAGAGAAACATGCTCAAGAATCAGGGTAGGCCTGGGTTGGCTTCCTTGTGCCACTCACAAGCTGTGTTAAGTGTCGCTAGCTCTGGGCAAGCTAGTTTACCTCTGTAATCACTTGATCTCATCTGTAAACTGGGTATCAATGATGTCTGCCTCCTCGGGCTGTTAAGAAGATTAAATGAGATAATACAAACGAAGTGCTTATCCTTTTGTTTGGCTCAGAGGAAGAACTCCAAAGTCTGAATGTCCCCGGACAACTGCTGTAGTGTTTGGATCATCCTTCTCCTGTTCTTGTCTTCATGTGATCCTTTCCCACAATGCAACCAGAATGACCATGAAGAGCTTAACATGCCACTAGCCAGAGATTTTTCCATTGCTCTGACCTCCTCTCCTATCCCCATGCCCCTGCATTCTAACCATGCTGAAGTGATTGGCTTTGCAAACAGGCTCAGTACAGACCAACCAACCTTGGCTCTTACTCTTGCCACCCCCACACCTCACAAGCTTTGCCTTTTACCTTTGAACTTTGCAGGACCGGTTTATTTTGGCAGTTGACTCCAAACTGAAAGAAGCTTCCCATTTGCCACTGCCTCTCATGCCACCCTGCTTTATTTTCATCACTAACTCAAAATACTCTGTTTATTCATTATTCCTAGTTAGTGGTATGTATCCTATATTCCCCTAAAGTGGTAGGTGCTGAAGAAGTGTTGGTTGAATAAATGGAAGAACAAATGTGCCTTGTCCTGCTCATTCCATCTTCTTTCTCCAAAGTCTAGCTCAAGTCTAAACTCAATTATGAGGCCATTTCTAACTACTGTGATTTTTTTAGGGGTCTCTTTCTCCTATGAGTCCAGTAGACACTTGGGTTATGTCCCCCCCATTTCCCTCTTGGCCCATGTCTTCAAATATAGTTGATGATGCCTCTTCTCTGCTATTTTCACAATTCTGGAACACAGAGAAAGAAAAAAGTCTCCAAATTATTATTAAGGCACCAGCATGAAACATAAGGAATATTGGTATGTGGATACAGAGTTGTACTTGGATACAACTTATATACTAGGATAGCCCTCCCCTCCCCAAATTCATTAAGCCTGTATTACATTATCTGTCATCTATTTCAGATTTTAATAAGATGAAAGAAAGGACTTTGACTTTCCACTGTTGGCAAAATCCAAAAACAAAACAAACAAAAACCAAAAAATCCTCAATTTATTTTTAACATTAATGGATAAAGCTCCAATTTTTTAAATCATTAAACATGTCACTGGCTGTTTTTTTTTAAAGATTTATTTATTTATTTATTTGAAAGTCAGAGTTAGACGGAGAGAGAAGGAGAGGCAGAGAGAGACAGAGGTCTTTCATCCACTGGTTCACTTCCCAATTGGCTGCGACAGCTGGAGCTGCACTGATCTGAAGCTGGGAGCCAGGAGCTTCTTTCAGGTCTCCCATGTGAGTGCAGGGGCCCAAGCACTTGGGCCATCTTCTACTGCTTTTCCAGGCCATAGCAGAGAGGTGGATCAGAAGAGGAGCAGCCAGGGCTAGAACCAGTGCCCATATGGGATGCCAGCGCTTCAGGCGAGGGTGTTAACCCGCTGCGCCACAGTGCCGGCCCTGCACTGGCTGTTATTTGTTGTGGGTTTTCTCTCATGCACATACTTATCAGAACTTATATATATATGTATGAATATATTCACACATAATCTTAAGGACAGTCTTTGGAATCCATATTGAATGGGCAGTGCCTTTTGGCATCAATCAAGAAGGTAAAAGGGTATCATACCTTTGATGCATGAATTCTAACATAGGATCATCTTTATGTTCCTTGATGATAGCATCTTCTCTTAATATTGAATTTTTTAATTTATTTTATTTTAACTTTTATTTAACAAATATAAATTTCCAAAGCACAGTTTATAGATTACAGTGGCTTCTCTCCCCCCCCATAACTTCCCTCCCACCCGCAACCCTCCCATCTCCCACTCCCTCTCCCATTCCATTCACATTGAGATTCATTTTCAACTATCTTTATATACAGAAGATCAATTTAGTATATATTAAGTAAAGATTTCAACAGTTTGCACCCACACAGAAACACAAAGTGTAAAGTACTGTTTGAATACTAGTTATAGCATTAATTCACATTGTACAACACATTAAGGACAGAGATCCTACATGAGGAGTAAGTGCACAGTGACTCCTGTTGTTGACTTAACATATTGACACTCTTTTTTATGCTGTCAGTAATCTCCCTAGGCTCTAGTCATGAGTTGCCAAGGCTATGGAAGTCTTTTGAGTTCGCCGACTCCAATCTTATTTAGATAAGGTTATGGTCAAAGTGGAAGTTCTCTCCTCCCTTCAGAGAAAGGTACCTTCTTCTTTGATGGCCCATTCTTTCCACTGGGATCTCATTCACAGAGATCTTTCATTTAGGTGTTTTGTTTTGTTTTTGCCAGAGCGTCTTGGCTTTCCATGCCTAAAATACTGTCATGGGCTTTGCAGTCAGATCTGAATGCCTTAAGGGCTGATTCTGAGGCCAGAGTGCTGTTTAGGACATCTGCCATTCTATGAGTCTGCTGTGTATCCTGCTTCTCATGTTGGATCGTTCTCTCCTTTTTAATTCTATCAGTTAGTATTAGCAGACACTAGTCTTGTCATTCTTCTAATGTTGAATTTTTACAACATTTATTTAGAGTTCAGGTATACATTCACATATATCAGTCTATAGTTTCATTTATTTCCTCTCAGATTTTGGCATCAGTTTTACTTTGACTTTATATAAATAATTGGAAACTTCTTTTTCCATATTGCATAAGAGTGGACTAATGGCTATTATTAAATAGATACTATGAAAGGTTTGAAGTCATGATCCACAATGCCATTGGTACCTGGCTTGTTTTCACACTTTCAAAAAGAATTATTTACTTTATTTGAAAGGTGGAGTGACTGAGAGAGGGAGAGACAGAGAGAAATGCTCACAACAGTCAAGGCTATGCCAAATCACAGCCAGGATCCCATAACTCCATCTGCATCTCCCCATAGGTGGCAGGGGCCCAAGCACATTAGCAGGAAGCTGGATAAGAAGCTTGGAGCATCCAGGACTTGAGCCAAATCTGCGATATGGGATGCAGGTGCCCCAAGCTGCAGCTTAACCAGCTGCGACACAATACCCACTACCTCAAACTTAATTTTAACAACTGCCCTGTTTAATTTTCTGGCCATTTCTGATTTTTTCATTTGTTTGCCTTGAGTTTTCTAGGTATAAAATAATGCTATCCACAAATAAGATAGTTTTGTTGCTCTATAATATATACTTATATTTTATATTCTTTTAAAATTCTAACAATATTTATTATAATCCGAAAAAAGTCAACAGAATTTTGTAAACCAAGAAAAAGACTACTGTTTAACATTTTGTGAAGTCTGACAAAATATCAAATAAGATATTGAAGTTCTTATTGAGTATAACTGGAAATGATTCATCAAGCCAACAAGCCAACCATATGTCTATCCATTCATCCATCTTTCCTTCTTTTGATCCATCCAATAAATGTTTACTGCTTGCTTGTTTCATGCTATGGATCCTCACAAGTACAATAAGAAAAACTTAAAGATTTGAAAGATAGATAGAGATATAGATGATGAATAAAAACACAAATAAACAACTATAATAGTATATAAAGAAACGTACATGGGGCTATAGAAGCACACAAGATAGGGGCATCTAAACAAGTTTTGGGCAGCTGGAGGAAAGTGACATCTAATGAGATTTCTGAAGGAAGTATCTGGATAAAAGAAAACCAGTCTCAATAAATGCGTTGTGTTGTTTAGTTGCTTTGAGATTCTGGTGTGTAAGCGTGTCAAAAGTGTTAGTCACTGGTTGTTCTGAAATCCTCACGGTTCTCAAGCTTTTCCTTTTGTGTTTGCAGCCCAGGGAGCAAGCAGCACACTGGAAAATCCTGCCCTGGACACAAGTCTGCTGGAGGAGTTCTTGGGCAATGATTTTGATTTGGGGGCTCTGTAAGTAATGACAGTGCTGCTCTCTGTTTGAGGTTTTAAAATTGGATAATTAAATAATAATTTAATTGAATAATTTACTGAGCCAGGAAGTTATTCTTTTTTTATTTTCCAAAAATGCTGGGGTAACATTGGCATCATTTCCATTATAAATCTTGGGCAGATTTCACCAGTGAAACCACCTGGATCTGGGGTTTCTTTTGTGGGCAGTTCCCCTTGCCTGCCCTCCTTCTCCCAACACAAATTCAATGTCTTTAAAATATATGGGACTTGGGCCCGGCGCTGTGGCGTAGCAGGTAAATCCGCTGTGTGCAGCGCCGGCATCCCATATGGGCACCAGTTCTAGTCCCGGCTGCTCCTCTTCCCATCCAGCTCTCTGCTATGTCCTGGGAAAGCAATAGAAGATGGCACAAGTGCTTGTGCCCCTGTACCCATGTGGGAGACCCAGAAGAAACTCCTGGCTCCTGGCTTTGGATTGGCACAGCTCCAAACATTGTGGCTATCTTGGGAATGAACCAATGACGGAAGACCCGTCTCTCTCTCTGCCTCTCCTTCTCTCTCTGTGTGACTCTGACTTTCAAATAAATAACTAAATCTTTAAAAAATAAATAAATAAATAAATAATGAAATATATGGGACTGTTCAGGTTATTGGTAGCTCTCAGCTGAGGCAGTTGTATCTTTTTAAAATTTTTTTTAAAGGATTTATTTATTTATGTGAGAAGTAGAGTTACAGACAGAGTGAAGGAGAGACAGAGAGAAAGGTCTTCCATCCACTGGTTTATTCCCCAAATGGCCGCAACAGCTAGAGCTGGGGCGATTCAAAGCCAGGAGCCAAGAGCTTCTTCTGGATCTCCCATGAGGGTGCAGGGGCCATCTTCCACTGTCTTCATAGGCTGTAGCAGAGAACTGGATCAGAATAGCTGGATCAGTCAGCATATGGGATGCCGGTGCTGATGTGTGGGTTTTTTTTTTTTTTTTTTTTTTTTTTTTTTTTTTTTTTTTACAGGCAGAGTGGACAGTGAGAGAGAGAGAGAGAGAGAGAGAGAGAGAGAGAGAGAGAAAGGTCTTCCTTTTGCTGTTGGTTCACCCTCCAATGGCTGCCGCAGCCGGCGCACTGCGGCAGGTGCACTGCGGCTAGCGCACCGCGCTGATCCGAAGGCAGGAGCCAGGTGCTTCTCCTGGTCTCCCATGGGGTGCAGGGCCTAAGCACTTGGGCCATCCTCCACTGCACTCCCGGGCCACAGCAGAGCTGGACAGGAAGAAGAGCAACTGGGACAGAATTCGGCGCCCCGACCGGGACTAGAACCCGGTGTGCCGGCGCCGCAGGCGGAGGATTAGCCTTTGAGCCACAGCGCCAGTCCAGTGCTGATGTTTTTGATCAATAGTTCATTCCTTTTTATTGCTAAGAAAGACTCTTTTGAATTATTATAACACAATATATCTGCTCACCTTTTTAACAATATTTGGGTACTTCCATTTTTGGCAGTTATGAATAATGTTTTATAAATATGTACAGATTTTTTTGTGTGATGAAGAGTTTTAACTTCTTTAGGGTAAATACTTAAGGACTTCTGGATCATATTGTGAATTTAATTGTAGAAATTATCAAATTCTCTAGAGTGACCATATCATTTTATATTACCACTAGCTGTAGATACCAAGTTGCTTCACTTCATAATGAATTTTTAGAATTTTTATTATAGCCATTCTAACAGGTTTGTAGTCATCTTCCATTGTGTTTTAATTTGCATTTTTCTAATGACTAATGAATTTGGGCATCATTTCATGTGCTTGTTTGCCATTCAGATGTTTTCCTTGGTGAAGTATCTGTTCAAATCATTTGCAATTTTTAAATATTGGGATTATTTTCTTATCTTTGGGTTAGAAAAATGTTTAAATATTCTGGATATTAGAACTTTGTTAGACATGTGATTAGTGAATATTTCTCCCAGTCTCTAACTTATGTTTCCATTTTCTTCACAGTGTCTTTCTCAGAGCAAAAGTTTTACTTTTGATGATGTTCAGTTTGTAGAATTTTCTGATTTTTTTGTAGGGCTTTATGATATGTGTTTTGTACCTAAAAAAATACAGATTTTGTCTAATGCAAGTTTCCAGAGATTTTCACCTGTGCTTTTTTTTTTTTCTGAAAGGCTTGGAGTTTTACATTGCACCTTTAGAATTATGATACATTTTGAATTAATTTTTACGTAAGAATTGAGATACAGGTCAAGATTAATTTCTTTGTGTATCAATGCCCAATAATTCTAGAATCATTTATTGAACAGCCTTTTTCCACTGAATTGTCTTTACACTGTTTTTAAAAAGCATTTGAGCATACTCATATTAGTTTATTTCTAGCATTTTATTCTATTCTGTTGATCTATGTGTCTATCATCTTGAAAATATCACATTTTTTTGATTATTGTACTTTTAGCATAAGCCTTAAGATTATATAGTATAAATTTTCCAAATTGTTTTCTTTTTCAAAATTATTTTGGCTTTGCTGGCTTATTTGATAAATCACATATATATAAGAATCTGATGTCCAAACAATTCTACTGGATTTAGATTAGGATTATATTATGACTAGAGATCTTTTAGGGGAGAATGGCCATCTTATCAAAACCGATTCATGAACGTGGTATACCTCTCTGTTTATGTAGGCCTTCTTTGATTTCTTCATTAGTATTTTACAATTTTTAAGAAACAGATTTTGTACATATTTTGTTAGATTTATATCTAAATATTTCATATTTCCATTTGTGCTATTGTAAAAGGTTTAAAAATTAAACTTCTAGCTACCCTTCACAAGTATATAGAAATACTACCAATACTGTCAGTAGAGTTGGGTACCACAATCCTAATAAAGGCATTTATTGGATCTAACAGCTTTTTTAGGGATCATATTTCTTGAGATTTTTCTATGTTGGCAATATCATCTGCAAATTGAGGTACTTGTATGTCTTTCTTTCCACACTATGTACCCTTTGACCCCTTTTCCTGCCTTATTGAACTGAGTATAATGTTAATAGAAAAGTAGTGGGAGTAGACATACTTTTCTTCTCTCTGATCTTAGAGGAAAAAAATTCATTTTTTTGTCATTAGGTGTGACACTATCTGTTTTTTGTGATGCCTTTTGTTAGCTTGAGGAGGTTCTTTTCTACTTCTAGTTTGCTTATAATTTTTTTTTATAATAAATGGGTGGTGAATTTTGTCAAATGTCTTTTCTATATTTGTTGATATTATGTTTTTCCCTTTCGTCTTTTAATATGGTGGAGTACTTTGCTTTATTTTGGATATTGAACTGCTTTGAGTTCCTGTGATAAACTTCGGTTAGTTGTGATGTATTTTTTTAAACTTTATTTAATAAATATAAATTTCGAAAGTACAACTTTTGGATTATAGCAGCTTTTCCCCACATAACCTCCCTCCCACCTGCGACCATCCCATCTCCCACTTCCTCTCGCATCCCATTCTTCATCAAGATTCATTTTCAATTATCTTTATATACAGAAGATCAACTTGGTATATACTAAGTAAAGATTTCAACAGTTTGCACCCACACAGATACACAAAGTATAGAGTACTGTTTGAGTAGTAGATTTACCATTAATTCACATAGTACAACTCATTAAGGACAGAGATCCTACATGGAGACCAAGTATACAGTGACTCCCGTTGTTGATTTAACAATTGACACTCTTATTAGAGCCTCGAGTGATGTATTTTTAAAAAAGATTATTTATTTGAAAGGCAGAGCTAGTCAGAGAGAGAGAGAGAGAGAGAGAGAGAGAGAGAGAGATTGAGATTGAGAGATTGATCTTCCATCTGCTGATTCACTCACCCAGAAAGCCACAATAGCCAGGGCTGAGCCAGGCCGAATCCAGGAACCAGGAGCTTCCTCCAGGTCTCCCATGTGGGTGCAGGGGCCCAAGTGCTTGGGCCACCCTTCACTGCCTTCCCAGGCACATTAGCAGGGAACTGGATCAGAAGTAGAGCAGCAGGGACAGGAACTGGTACCCATATGGGATGCTGGCATCTCAGGTGGAAGCTTTGCCCACTATGGCACAATGCTGGCCCTGTGATATACTTTTAAAAAAAAATATATTTCTGGGGCTGGCACTGTGGGTAAAGCCACTGCCTGTAGTGCCAACATCACATAAGGGCACCGGTTCTAGTCCCAGCTGCTCTACTTCCAATCCAGCTCTCTGCTATGGCCTAGGAAAGCAGTAGAAGATGGCCCAAGTCCTGGGACCCCTGTATCCACATGGGAGACCTGGAGGAAGCTCCTGACTCCTGGATTCGGATCAGCCCAGTTCCAGCCATTGTGGTCATTTGGGGAATGAACCAGCAGATGGAAGACCTCTCTCTACTCTTTCTCTCTCTGCCTCTGCCTCTTTAATTCTGCTTTTCAAATAAATAAATGAATATTTTTAAAAAAATATATATTGCTGGGTCAGGCTTCCATTGCAGCAGTTCAGTCCCCAGTTGGGATGTTTGCAACCCATACCGGAGTGCCTGGTTCAAGTCTGGACTCTCCACTTCCGATCTAGCTTGCTGCTAATGTGCGTCCTGGGAGGTAGCAGGTTACTGCTCAAGTACTTAAATGCCTGCTACCTACGTGGGAGACGCAGCTTGAGTTCCACTCCTCGATTTGGCCTGGGCCAGTCCCATCTTTCTGTTTCTCTGTCTCTCTGCATTTTAAATCAAATGAAAATAAATTTGCTAAAATTTTATTGAGGTTTTTACATTTCTATTCATGAAAATATTGGTCTGAAGTCTTTATCCTGGATTTTTTTTTTTTGGCTTTGATATCAGGATAATTATAGCTTTCTAAAATTAATTGGAAAGCATTCCCTACTCTTGAATTCTCTCAATGAAAATTATGGAGCTGGATTTATTTCTTCCTAAAAAGTTTAGTAGAATTCTCTAGTGAAACCATCTGTGCTTGTAGTTTGCCTTTTTGGAAGGTCTTAACCATAAATTAACTTAGTAGATTCA